CCCGAACTTTTGGCACTCATCAATAGCAATCGTGTGACCCGCTGGATCGGTGCAAAGCGTCACATCATTGCCTACCCCGTCTCCAACAATACCATCTACAACCTCTCTACCATCCAGCCCGACACCAACTTCGCAGCCGCCACAAACGCTACCTATACCACCAAGGGCTCCAAGCCTGCCATGATGGGCGTGTTCTCTGATTTCTGTCCCATGGTTCAGCGCATGCTAAACTACGTTCCCGAAGGCGAGGTCTGCGAGTGGAAGCTGCGCGTCCACGAGCCCCTCCCAACTTGGGTTCACGACTCGGTCGCCTTGGTTGGCGATGCCTGCCACCCTACCCTGCCCCACCTGGCTCAGGGTGCTGCTCAGGCTATTGAAGACGGAGCCGTTCTCGGTGTGGTTCTCTCCAAGCTCCCCGATACCACCCCCGAGTCTATCAACAAAGCTCTCCGTGTCTACGAGAAGGTCCGCAAGAGCCGCGCTGAGGCATTAGTCGAGATTGCTACCGCTTCTGGTCGCGCCCTGCACTTGGGTGAGGGTGCTGCCAAGGAGGAGCGTGACAAGCAGTTCGCCGCCCTCCGCACTGGCAAGGGTCCCGTGCCTGATAAGTGGGCTGATGCCGATGTGCAGCGTGAGATCTACGGCTTTGACTGCACCAAGGTCGCCGCGGATAAGTTCGATGAATACTTCTCGCAGATGTAAGCATTGTTCTCTATATTTCTCACCACATTTGGCATATTATTTCTTGAACATTGGACGTTTCCTTTCCCTGTATACTTATGGCCTTGGGACTACATATTTAAAGAAAAGAGTCTTTCATTGAAACCTCCATTTGCTTTTCTTGTCCTTGAAGGATATGATACTAAACTGTCTTGATTTGAACAGGGATATTAGCCCCCATCGCTCTAAGCTTGCATAAGAACTAGGCATTTGTGCTGTAAACTGAGGACCAGTGAATTACTATATGTGGTTAGTTTTGCCGTTTCCGGCTTAGAACCCCAATACGCTGTTTTGTAACCTTCTCCCCGTGCTACCTTGACAATAAGACGCGATCGCGTCCTTTCGACCTCGCTTCCCTTCTTGCCCTCCATTCAAATCCTCTATCTTGCACTTATCGCCGCCCTCTTTCTTTTACTCTGGCCCCCATCGACTACTGCGTGTTTGCTTTCAGCCCGACGCACTACCCCTATCATTTTTACCGGAGATGCCGCTCAACCCGACACCCAGCTTGTAATGCCTGTCGCCTAGGAGCGTAACCACTAGGATGATATAATATCGTATTCTTTCGTGCCGATAATCCTGCTCCTTCCCTAAGGTATGAGATTCGTACTTCGGGATGAAGTTCGGTGGCGTAGATTGGTAGATATTCCGAGCCAGCAACAGGAATCAAACCCATGCCCTCTAGGTTTCTCCAGAAAAAATAGCTCCCACTATTCTTCCCTTGCTCCTAGCGGGGTGCCTAGGTGACGTTCTACCATTACGCCACCTTGCTGGCATGGCCCCTTTCGCTGCGCCCCCGAGACAAGAAAATGTATCCCCCTAATTCCACAGATCTCCGTCTTTGTGTCCGGATGTTCAATGTTTATATCCTACTGTGGTGTATGCAGTTGCGGGTTCCCGGCGGCTTTGCGGGTGACTAACCTATGGGGGACCAAAGAAGCCATCTGGCAGGGTCGATTCTCACAAGACTTGGTGGATATCTTTGGACTCGACCTGATCTTCTCGAGTAAGAGAACAGCCACGAGTCACCTTTGGCTTCATCTGGGGGTTTGAAGTCTGGACATTCAGGCCAAAGGCTCCGTCGGGGATCCGGCCTTATCGGAGGCTAGTCTCCGAAGGGCGTATAGCCACTGCAGGGATGCCCGACTACCTTTACTCGGTCCCAGGGTTGATAAGTTGATGCACGGAGAGTGGGAAGTTCCATACGACGCTAGCCGTAGCGTCGCCGAGTACCCCGAGGCCATTTGCTGACGTTGGTCTGGACTTTCCGCTAACTCCGAAGATAAGACCGAAGCCCGCACCTGGTGGCTGGCTATATAAGCCTCTAGTGGATGTGGTATGCGACGCTGAGACGTACTCCTTAGTATAGACGGTCACAGCGCAGCGACGCCCCACCGCAAGCTCGTAATTCTCCCCGCCCTCCTAATACATCCTTAGGTACTATAGTGCCAAATCAAGCTTTGATCACAGCTGAGACCTAACAAGCTTTCTTGGAGAGAGGATGGCGTTCCCATATAAACATTTCTTGGTTATCGGCGCGACAGCGGGAATCGGCAAGGCCCTTGCGGCCCGCCTGGTGGAGTCGGGCGCTAAGGTCACCGTCGTGGGTCGGCGGCAGGACCGTCTGGATGAGTTCGTGCAGACTGTCGGGGCTGCACGTGCGAAAGGCGAGCGGTTCGACATTGGAGAGCCGGCCCAGATTCCGGATTTTGCCGCAAGGTACGATATCATTCCCGAGGTCCTCACGCGGGGCAAGCCACATACTGACGGGGTGATGGGCAACAAACAGGGTGATGAAGGAATCGCCGGATATTGATTCCATTGTGCTCAATGCGGGGGTGCAAAACTCGTACGATCTGGCGGATCTGGACAAGTTTAATCTGACGGCGTTCCACGAGGAAGTGAAGATCAACTTTTCCAGCTTCGTCTCTCTGACCCATGCTTTTTTGCCCTATCTTCAGAAGAACCCGAACCCAACTAGTTTCATCTTGTAAGACGCCTACCGGCCGCAATCCGCCCATGGCAAGAGCTAATGGGTGTATTAGTACCGGCTCGAACTTGGCCATCGTGCCCGCCGCCACGCTTCCGGCGTATTCAGCATCGAAAGCCGCCCTGAACGTCTTTACTCTCTGTCTGCGGGAGCAGCTACGGCACTCGAACACCAAAGTGATCGAGATTTCCCCTCCACCGGTCCAGAGTAAGGCACTCCTGGCCCCAGAACGTCGATGTATCAGTGCTGACCCTTGGCTACAGCGGAATTGCACGACTACATGGGCGAGGAAGCGGGTCGCAAGTTGGGGATGCCCTTGGACACATTCACACAGCAGGTCTATCAGGCGCTGGCCGAGGGCGGAGATCAGATTGTAATTGGTAGTATTGGGCCAGTAGACACATTTAACGGGATTGTGAACAACCGTCGCACTGCCTTCGAGAACCTCGCCAAGATGATGCGTGGTGGGAAGCCCTAGGCAGGCCGCAGATCTGCGGACGATCAAGAATGTTGCGTTCTTCGATAACCTAGAGACCGGCTAGAATGAATGCTATTTAATGTCTTAGAGCGCTAGGGCATCAAGTCTTTGCGTTTAGCTTCAGTTCATGTACCCTCTCTTCGCCTGTTAGTTGAGCGTTCGGACACTCGAGGAGCGCCGCGACGGCAACCGTCTTTGGGCCGCCGCGGTGCGAGGGACTACTGCAGAATGCATACCAATGGAGACTTGTGGCGCGATCTCCGGTGTCGATTGCCGGGTGGCTTGGCCACGATCTCCCAGGAACAAAAGGTACATTCTGTGTGGGTCAAGCTCAGATTTTTCAGCTTTGTCACTCTGTTCACTCTTCGCTGCTAGATGGTAACGAGAAAGGATCTCGGGAATTATAGACCGTGGTGAGTCCATGGCAATTGTGAAACATCAAAGAATTGAGTAACCGGCCCCTTACAAACGCGAGGGTCCGGAAAACTGGTACATTTTATTGAAGCCCACGCCCAGTATTTATAGTTCAACATCCCCGGGCTTATGCGGTTTGTATGGAATAGACGCAAGCCACTAGCGGCCACAACCCTAACAAGGTCCCTCCTCGCCCGGTATATACAAATCCTGAAGTCTTCTGCATCCACCCGGAAGGTTCTGTGGGAAGTGATGTGTGATATGAGTATGGCCCCAGTCCACCGCCAACCCCGATATGATCGACTAGGTAGGCCCAGATGATCCCATGAATCCGATGGACTGAGCTCTGAGAAAGAAAGTCATTCCTGGATAGTACAAAGAAGCTACATCCGGGACTGGCTCACGACATTGCCTGCTTTAATGGCCCAGACGCAATTGTCGTCGCTGGGCCAACGGTGTGCAGGGCTTTGGCCGGCTAGTCTATGGACCAATCACTCAACAAACACTTAGGGGTGAATCTCTTTGGCAATACGAGATTAGTCACGGAAATGGGGCATGGATACCCGCCTACTGCTTCACCAAGGTCGAGTTCCTTCCTGAAGATTTCACAATGATCAACTACTACACGAGTCGAAGCCGGGAGAGCTGGTTTAGTTCCCACATCGTGTGCGTACGAATGGTTCTGGACGAAAAGGGCGTGCCCATTGTTGGCGATCTGACGCTGTTCAATAATACGCTGAAACGGCGTATTGGAGCAACGCCCAAGGTGTTGCAATGCTGCAGGAGCGTGTGGTGGCCCTAGAGAAACATTTTAATATACATCTCTCCGAGGTGGATCAAGCGAGTATCCGCCACACTATCTCGGAGATTCTATAGGTTTGACTTAAACAGGAGGGATATCGATTCTGCTGTTGCTGGACCTAGGGTTGGGCCAGTTGAGAGTTAGGGGTTAGGCTCGCTGCATTATTGGTGAATTTGCTGGATCTGATCTTTTCATCTTAGGGGTAGAATAATCGATAGTGATATCCTCTATGACTCCTTGTATGACTCCATCAAATTATCTCCATGTTTTCAAGCGAATAGCTAGGATATATAAATGCACGTACAATGCCAATAAGTGTTGGGAATCTTCCGCATTTTCTATCTGTTGAATCTGGTCATATATTGCCTTCAAACATCTTTCGGATTTCTTTTTATAGAGGAGTACTTTTCGCCGAAAAGTTGTGTCCTGTCCACGGGTGTGTGTAGTATGTAGTTGAGCCGCAAATTGCGCGATGGCCGATCTTGCCCATTAACATCAACGCGAACGAACCATCAAGCAAGTTCCCAGATCCGTCCAACTGAGTGCATTGAAGCAGCGCCATGGTGTTCTTTCCAAACTCTGATGATTTCAGATAAATGCCTTTTCCAGCAGTATGTCTACAGCGTGGTTTATCGATTCTCCAGGCTGATCAGACTGGTCACAGACTCCATCACCATTCCGCCTCTCCCGCCGCAAGCCATCCACGCGCCGCAGTGGCCCTCAATTTGCCCAAACACCTCGGTTCCTGCTATCACAGAATGCAACGCAAAAAGAAGACGATGATCTTGATGTGATAGATGACGATGGGCCATCTTCAACTCGCGAAGTGGCGCGTAACCCGCCTGCTTCCCAGAATGCCACCCGCGTGCGCCAACGACGCGACGTGATCGAGGGCTCCGATGATGCCGTATATATAGGAGATGTGCGAATTGGAGCAAGATATGCGGACGACATACCAGATGATGCCATAGACAGCACTCCCCCCGAAGAACCAGAGACTCCGGGAATCCTAGACGCCGAGTTTGAAGCACTGTTTGCGCCGGTCGCAGATGGGAATAAACGACGTCGCGTGGAGGGAGTGGCGCCCTTCACTCGAAACAATCTAACACAACTTGATCCAATATTGTCCTCACCACCTGAAACTGCGAACCCTCCAGTCGATCCCCTCGACTTGCCCGATAAAAGCAGGCAAGGCACTACCGCATGGGATATGGGTACCCAAACTCCCGCACCAACTGCACATCCATTTGCACCAGCCACATCCACCCCAAGCAATATAAAAACACCGTTTCGCAGTCGTCCTCGGTTTATGCTTTCCTCAACGGCGAAGCCTCCGAGCAGCCAGTCCGCACCCAAATTCAAACCAGACACGCCGGGGATAACCCCGCCTGAGAGACGGAAACCGGCCTTCGTTTTGCCTCGCTCGCCATCGCCGAATCCGGATGCAGAGGATATCCCTGCACCGTTCTCTCCCTCGTCGCGCACACTGCGTCGCCGTGGTCGAAACCGAGCCGGTGTGTCCAATTATATTCCTGGCGGAATGGCCGCTGAGGTGCGCAGCTGGATCTTGGAAATGGGGACGAAACGTGACCAGTTGCCAAAACCTCCCTTGGCTCAAGCCTCAGACTCGCAGGCGGTGGATGCCTCGCTGGAAAGGTTGAATATGTATCTCCTGGCTGTGCGTGTCATTCATGCCAGTCAGTCAGCTCTGAGCGGATGTGGCTCTGTCGCCTTTCTTCAGGCAGAAGTGCTTAGTGGGAATCATGTGCAAGAGAAAAATTCCGATTCTGCATTGAATATCATGATTATGGGACCTTCGCGATCTAAATCCGCTGTCGGCCCAATGCCCTCGCATTCTGATGCCACTGTAACGCCTGGTCTGCGGAAAGGGGATGTACTGGGGATCCACAGAGGGCTCAACTGGGATTTGGAGCTTGGAAGTCACTTTAGCGGACATCGAACAACTGATCAAGTCTCTAGCCGCGTGTCGGAGTGTGGTCCATCTGAAAATGGCGGGCACCCAGAGGCAAAAGAGCGCTGGCTCATAGCCATGGAATGGGACATCGTCGAGACAGCTCCATGAGTGACGCTGATTTATATTGATATATGGAAAGGTGTTCTTTCATTTCATGATATTCCATAGACCCACGTGCATGTACCTATTATGGTTCTATGTATGATGATTGATGATTTTACGTCTTCATGAACCAAAAAAAGTTCAAACTGCCCATATAGCGTGGAAGATTCAGTTGTTGAGAAAGGCGGTTCCGAAGTGAGTTTTGAAGACCTTTGCGGAAAGTTAAGATCTTTATAACGTCGGGCCAATCTTGTCCTTTGGCTTCGTAAAGAACGCGCTTGAACTTAGCGATATAAACGGCGAGGGATGCTTCGGGAGATTATTTGATCGAAAGGAGGCGATCTTCGGCTTATAAGTCTTATTCGGATTGTCGTATACGGAGTAGTTGTTCTAGAATTGTATTGAAATCATGGACACCGGAGTTACGCACGTGGGATGCCGCTATCCGCGCAAAACTCGCTATCGGAGATTCTACAGCTTATTCTTACTACGCCTATCTTAATCTCGCTAGCCAAGTTTACGCTATTGTTCTTCTACAACTCGCCGACGCGCGTCGTACTTGACTGCGAGCCAAGTAAACTTCTCTAGATCTGGAAGGGAGGGTTTTAGACGACGAGGAGAGCGTTACTGGTGCAACTTGCTGCTAGATATGTCGACAGTAGCGGCAAATTCTGCCCGGAGCTCTACACGTAGCTGATCCATTTAAGAGGATCGAGGAGAGGAAGCGAGGTTGAAAAGAACTTGCACTTAATTAGACCTTTGCCTAGAGATGTCGAAAAAGTCAAGGTGGAGGTGGTGGGAATCAAGATATGAAGGGTCCAGACAGCCTCTCGCACGCAGCTTACTGAATTTCCCGCAGCCCAATCTCCGTATATAGTTCACGAGGTTATGGTACCGAAGCTATCTAAAGAGAAGGGCTTCCACCGAGAAGTTCGCTCGCAAATGAGAACTCTGTACGGTGTGCGAAGCAGATGCCAACTCTCCCATCCTGAGTGCAGCCGTTGCACAAATATCCCACAGCGAAGAAAATCGCCAGTGGTCTTCTCCCTTTGGCTTCATGCCACACTCTAGCACGGAGTTGATGATTTCTGACACGACCCGAAAATCATACATGCCTTCATAGCCATAGCCACAGATTTTAGAGCAAATTTACGGATTCATATGTGTGTAGGACTTTCTTTTCCTTTAACAACAGAAGCCCCGCTGGCGCAATTGGCAGCGCGCGTGCCTTCTAAAAGCCCGCCCTTGGAATCTCCAAGGCAAGGGGTTGATAAAGCACGAGGTTGCAAGTGATATTTGCGCGGGGCTTTTGAAAAAGGTTATCGATGCCTGATATTTCAAGTAGCAATGCGTATCAGGCAGACAGACACCCATGGGAACCTGTAGTAGAGAGCAGAGAGCTCTTCTCTTTCTCTCTTTTCGGAAAAGCCTCCGATCGCGCAGGAGGAAGCGGTTCACGCTTTTCCTGAGTTGTCCGATCGAACTATATACATGCTCTTAGCTTTTTCTTCAAAATCAGCGGCGACTTCCGGCCGTGTCTGCTGTATCGTCTATAGTTTCACGTAACGTCTTCAGTAGCACGCGAAGACCCTTCGCCTTGTTCCTCGCATTTTGAATCTCCTCATCGTAGCCCGGCAGGATTAGCTGTACGAGACGATCCCCTGGCATACCTGTAAGCCGAGCGATATGACGCCGACGGCAGTACCCGCAAGTTCGCCATGTTCGACGACGCGGTGCCTGAAGATGGAATGTGCTTGCAAAAAGTAAAATTGAAACATCTGGCAGTTTTGCAGGTGGGAAACCTGTCGTCCGCCAAGCAGGCAGTGCTTGTCTCATGCAGCGTGGTAAGTGGCCCCAATCAGGCCCCAGGGGGCTCAGCGCTTAGCTGAATAAGACAAGACGTCTCACCTGGACAAGTCCCAAACAATGCCTAGCAACAAACTGCGAGACATCTTTGCCTGCTCATCTAGTCCTCTAAAAATATATTAGTCGAACAGTGAGGGTACCTAAGAGGTAGTCACGTAGTCCGTTCACTGGAATGTGCTAGTTTCCAAGGTTACTACAGAGGACAGAGTACCTCAATCATTCCCTCCTTCTCTTGTCCGAAATCAGAAAAGTTCTTACATGGTGGTTTTGAAGGTTAGGAAAAGGGTGAAAGATAAGCAAATCATAAGCAGCGTAACAACTTGGGTATATTCTATATGCAATTGCAAGATGGATCCAGTGCAATCCTTACTCCGCCACAGCCTTAAGGCCATCTGCAGCCACATTGCATCCCCACCGAACTAGTTTCAGTTCCTCTGAGGACACAATATCACTCTTCGCGACAACCTTTCGCACAAAATAAATAAGGCCCTTGGCAATGTGCGGTGTCTCCTTGACACGAAGGAAGATCTGCATCAAAGGCCCTTCATTCTTCTCAGGCTCATCTGGCATGGAGCTCTTGAACTTCTTCTTCTTGGACTTTTGGGATTGTTGAATGATACTGATGATCAAAACTTCGACAAATGTCTTAGTCTTGGGCTGCAGATATGCGAAGTTGAGATTCTTCAAAATGCTCAATGTCAAGCTGCCATCCACAACGAGGGTACTGAACATCTTGGCCAGGTTGACCACGGACTTCATGCTGACACCATTCTCCTCGTCGTTTTGATCGAAGTTGGTGTCATCATCCTCATCAATATCTCCTCGCTCACCCATCTTCTTGAACACATTCCAGAGTGCAAACATAAAGGACATTTTCATGCGTCGACCCTGATCACCGCAAATCCGACGCGCAATCAGAGAATAGTATGGGTTATGGGCATCCTCCTCCATGGCACAGTGTAGAAGAACACGAGGGATTTCAAACTCCTGCGCCCGCTTGAGACGCAGCTTCATGAGTCGGACATGTGCATCTTGGAAGTCGTTGGCAGACATGATGGCAACAAAGATCGACCGACGAACGTCTGTGTTCATGCGGTGGGCTCGGGCGAGAGCTCCAAAGTCAGGCTCACCGTCGCTTTCATCATCTCGGACTTTAGGTTGGGTCACTTGTACATCAGCCATTTCTCTTTGTGCTGTTACAAGAGGATCTTCCTTCCAGCTTGCGCCGACCAACCACCACTTGCCCTTCTTGGACGAATTGTGGATATCGTCACGGGAGATGTTAATAGGTTCTGATGCGCGGATCACCCGAGAGCTGTTCAAAGAACCCAAAATCTTGCGCATCTTGGTAATGTGTTCCGTGGTGATACCTGCGCCAGCTGCGGCGGAAGCTTTCGAGCGGTTGTTTTTCAAATCCGTGATCAAGTCAATCATAAACTTTGTTCGAACAGAAAGACTGTCCTCACCAGCCTTCGCAACGGCGGGCTGGATGAGCAATACGATATCCTTGAGTGCAGACGGGTCATCGAGTCGAAGTTGAGGGCCAGAATCTGCGTACATGTTAGATGGCTAGTGGTTTTATCATGGGTTAGGTATATCACTTACTCCGAATGACCTTGAGCAGGAGCTCGGTGTTTGATTCCGTGATCTCCTGTACGTAAAGACGAACGTAGTCAAACATCAAGGAAGAACCAATGACGTGGAAGTTGTAAAGTTGCGAGAGGAGAGAGACCAAGTTAGTAGCTTCTTTTCCTTGGAACTTTCCACGCTCGTCGCCATCAGCATCCAATGTTTCGACAACCGTTTGAATAATCTCCGCGCCAACATCCATTCCCATGAGCTTATACAACGCCGCAATGAAACCTGCATGCAAAATGAGGAAGGTATCCTGAAGGGCAGCCCTCTCACAGATCAAGCCCATTAGTAGGCTAACCAAAGTAGACGTGACGTGTTGGCGCGGGTAATCGCGGTAAAGCTTTTCAAACTCGGCTACAATCGAGAGCATATTGGCCTCGGACAGCTTGTTGAGATGCCCCTGGGCCTGGCGCTTGAGACGAGTAAGAGATTCGCTTTCTGGGTCGGAGCGAGCCCGTAGTGAAGGTGGAATGTACTTTTGAGCGGTGGGTTCGGGTTTCGTGACGGGGGCGATGTAAGGATTTTCCTTCTTTTTTGGCTCTTTGCTTTCTTCCTCGTCGAAACCGTCGAAATCGCTGCCTTCGGCGGCCTCGTCAGAATCATCACCTCCAAAGAATTTCCCGTCAAGATCGAGATCTTCGGCACTATCTGTTTCACTATCGTCTTTTTCGATTTGTTGGGCTTGCAAGCTCTTAGCCTTGAGTCTCTTGTTTCGTAGCCAATCATCGGCTTCTCGTTTGCGCTTTTTGCTCTCATCTTCTGAGCCATCGCCGCCACCAGCCAAATCTCCCAGCAAGTCATCTAGTCCATCCTCCTCAAACGCCTTTGGTAATTTACCTCCTTTCTTGAGGCCAAGCTTTTTTTCTAACGCAGCAATCTCGGCATCGTCTTGCGCCAACTTAGCCTTCACCGATCCGGGGATGTGGGCCTCAGTTTCTTTGGGTTCATCCTCGTAGGCGTCGTCATCCGACTCGTCATCTTCATCTTCATCTTCATCCTCACCCTCATCTTCATCGAGATCGATTTCTGACCCGAACCCGGACTCAGGCTCGGACTCGGAGTCGGAGTCTTCTTGGACTGCTGCTTTCTTCAGGATAGATTTGGGCTCCTTCGCAGCCTCTTTCGTGGATTTAGACTTCGTCTGCGGCACGCTAGGTTCGTCGAGATCCATGTCGTCTGAGTCGAGGTCAAGATCATCGTGCCCAATTTCCTCATCGCTGCCATCCTGCGCCTGTGGTTTAGGTTTCTGCTGATTCTGTTGCTGCTTGGAACGCTCGGAGGTCTTCTTCTTGGGCGGAGCTGCATGTCGGGATTTCTTCTGCGTGCGCTCATTCTGGCGGCGTTCTTTGCGCGAGGCAGGTCCGTTCAGGCGACGCTTCTTGTCACCGTAGACATCCCGAATTCCAAGCTCAGATCGTAGATCCCGAGGCAAGGCTGTCGTATTATGCCGTGGGCGAGGCATCTTGGGCATCTTGTTCCTCTGGAATATTTTGTCAAAGAGTTCAAATATCGGTCTTCAATATCAGGTAGCCCGGGCGGTAGGGAACTTTTTTCACTTTTCTGCTGCCCCAAAACAAAGGCGGAGAGTCACCCACAGCGGAGTTTCTCCCCACTGCGAGTTGTTCCCAGCTGTCAATTGCATATTGATCATCTGCTCCAGCTTTCAGATTCCGTAATTATCGCTCGCGTCAAAGAAAGATCTCCCAGTATGGCCCCACATTTGGGCCAAGATGAGGTAAATATTGATTTTGGTGTTACCTGACCGCTACACATCCGCACATGCGACCATAACCACCAGTTCCAAGCTATATCACTAATACTGATTACCTCTAGTTCTTCAAATCTCTCGCCGAACTGCTCGCCAAAACCTCCCAACAAGTTCAAGGGTCGGTATATCTCACTCAAAAACCTCTCATCGATGTGCCGGGTGCCACTACCACAAATTCCCAACCATCTATCCTGATCCGAGCCACTGATGGAAACACCAATACGCCGAACCTCAAGAAAGAAAGCAAGGAAAACAAGATCGCCATGAAAAAGTCTCAGAAGATCAAGCTCTCGACTATTGTCAAACCGGATGAAATTGAGGCATTCTATGTTCGCTATGCTGAGGTCTGCAAGGCAGGAATGACCGGGTTGAAGAAGCGAGATCGCCGAGGCCGCAAGGCCAAGACCAAGGGCGGAGCCGCAAAGGTCACAAAAGCATAAATTTGCTATTCGGTCTATTTCCAGATGGCACCATCGTCTTTGTGTACTCGGCTCGGACCTGACACGCGATGTGTTTGATGGCTTCGTTTTCTCATGCATTAGCTGGCGTTCGACGGTAATTCTGGCTTCTTGTTCTCAATTTTGCACATGCGAACTTCCTATCAAGTGTACATATTCCCCTACGCTTGTGGCTCACGGGTGCTGTGTTTGTTTATACGAGTCCTGTTGGACGGGAAAAGAAATGAACGGCTTCCAGCGTTACAGCTGGGCCCCTATTCGTAATTGCACCTCTAACATCTTTGGTCAAATTATGTAGACGAGGGCCAATGGCGCTGCGTAGACCCTTGGGTTCAGTTATTTAGAATATTGAACAGTCTAGAAATTGAAGGAGCATATTTGTATCGATTAATTATTCGTTTCTGACATGACCCCGGTTTCCCTTCAATGATACACGCAACGCTAGAATACAGAAATTTAGAATACAAACCATGCCATATATCCACCCATGAGTCGTGCAAGTCAGCGCCAAATATCATAACAAGAAGAAAAAAAAACATTAGGGTGGTCTGTAGAGATGGGGGAATACAAGGAGTAAGCATTAAATCGACCGTAACATGGGGGGAGGATCCAGATGAAGTAGTGAAAGAAAGAAATCAAAGGCGGGTATTCCAACCATCCGACTAGTCCAGATCCCAAGGGTCGAGTTTCTTGAAGAGTTCAGCGTCCTCGTATTCGGAGGAAGTCTGAGGCTCCAGTGGAAAACTGAAGTCATCCTCTGTGGCTGGATCCTTCCTTGTTTGCTTGGACTGAGAATGTGGCTCGCTCGATGTGGAGCTGATAGTCGGGTGGATGGTTGGGCTGATGACAACGCGCGCAGCGATATGAAGGAGAATAACAAAAAGATAGGCGGGGGGTATCAATACTAGGGTGATAGCCTTGGAAATGAAGGATGAGCCATCATGACTGGATGGTTGGTACAATGCCGAAGAATGAGGCATAGGGGAAACGTCACGCTCTCTTGTGGCTTTCGCCCGGCGCCGGAACTCGGTGCTCATGTGATCGAAATCAGTATTCGATGCAGCGGCCTTGGCATGCAGGTCTAGCCGCATGTGATTGTCCGAAGATGCATCCGTAAAACGGCTGGGTTGATTCCCATTGCTTGTATGGGCCATTGAGGGCGAGGTGTCCGAGAACGCATCTGCGAAACCCCTCGGCGGATTGTTCGAACTTGTACTATGCACTAATGAAGGACCAGGCAAGCTGCTTGGATTTGGGACGTCATCGCTTTGAGGGATATTGAGTGTTGGGAGCTGTGACGTCTTACACGGATCCGCTGGCGTCGATTCATATCCAGAAATGATGTTTTTTGTGCTCGAAATACTGAACATCTCTTCTGACTCTGGCAAGTCGTGGCCTCCCACAGATGTAGGATGAGTAGAGACTGAATCCGGCGATTGAGGCTCAGCGGAATGGAATGACTCGGGGCTGGACCCAAAGGAGGCATCATGGTCAAGTTCCAGTGTCGGCTCGGCAGCGGGTTGAATACGTTGAACTTCTTCCACGTTCATGAAATTACCTTCCACTAACGCCTCAGCTTCGACCACCCTGGTGGGCTCAGCACGGAATACAGCTTCCTCAGAAGTTTCAGCCACCAACACTGCGTCACTCTCAGTTGGAATGATGGGCTTCGCTTCAACTGCAGCTTCGCTGGAAGATCCGGTTTGTAATACAACTTCTGATCCAAGTCCAGGCTTGGCCTCAGGCTGCGCGTCGGCTAGTAACTCGGGTTCGAGTTGGTCTGTAACCTTGCGCTCATGATCAATTTGGAGTGCAGCATCGGTACTGGATGGGTATTCTGGCTTGAGCGCAGGTTCAATGTCATGGTCGTCCTCTGCGACTGATGTAGCCTCAAACTTTGCAAGCAGGCTAGTGAAAGTCTGTGGTGTTTCGGTCACCGAGCGCCTAGGAGGTCCAAGGAATGGGGAAGGACTCAAAGCCTCAACAGGAGAAGATTCCCGGTCGTCAGGAATAGTCTCCAAAATAGTACTGTTCGCTTTGTTTGAAGTGAAACAACTGTCATCAGTTAGGTTTCCGTCGGTGTCGTCCCCAGTGCTCGCGGAATCGAGACAATCCGACCTGACTGAAGAGGGTGACGCTGTCTCTCGCGGAGGTTCTAGAACAGTAGGTACCCTTTCTCTCCGATCTTTAGGTTGCCAGGCCTTTTTGCGCCGAGGGGCCATCGCGTCGCTCGGGAGCTCCACACTAAAAGCGCGTTTGAAAGGACATGGCGTGACCTCATACCGAAGCACCGTCGGCAACGCGATCTTCAGATCCCGCACCAAACTCTGGTCATCTTCCGTCTCGTATGGTATTTCGATGCGATAGTATGTAAGAGGGCGAATGCGTAAAACAAACTTTGAGACCCCGTCAACACACCAACACTGGGAGTTTTTCAGGATCGCATGGACAACATTTCCACATTTCAGAAATGCGGTTGAACCATGGACCTTCTCTAGCCTCAGTGGCGCTGTTGCGACAGTTCGTTCAGTTGCAGAGCGCCAGGGGAGTGTTTCGATGGTGTCGACCGGGTAGTCGAAGTCGGACGGCGCAGAACTGGAAGGAATAGGGGCGAGGGCTCTTGGGGAGAAATGCACAATTTTCGCAGATGGGTGGTAGAAAATTACATGTTCGGGGGTATTCGGCACGCTCGAGCGACGTTGCGCAAGTGGATTTAACTTGGTGGGAAGGGTGAGGGAGCGGCGGAGGGATTGTATCTGACCTAGCTCACTTGGAGACCCAGGCATGGTTCATGGATGCGATCAATAAGGGATAAAGGAGAGCATGTAAAGATTAATGTACAGGCATGTTTGTACAAGATACTAATGCGAAAAGCCAGGGTATCCGATGCAGGACACGCAGGAAACGGGGCTTATCTGCAGTGTTGCGCGGGGAGATCCACTGCTGCCTCAGGCTATTTACATCAGGTGACCATGACGCAGCTTTCAATGGAGCCCAGGCATCCACAGTTATTTCGCTTCCAAGAATGCATTGTCGCTAGCTCCTTACCTATTTCGATACTTCTGGCGCTTTTGTGGTGGTATCTACTTGGATTTCGCAGTTTGAAAGCCACAATGTCGAACTTCGAGCCAAACGCCGTGATCCGCGGCTTTCAGCTCACAGTGGTAGGCAGTATGTCACCCCATATGTTTTGTTGCTTTTCCTGGCCATTCAGAGGGATTGGGTTGAAATTTCTAGGTGGCATCCTGGCTACACGGACAGTTCTATCAATGTTAGGGCTGTATAGCATCGGAGCCGGCTTATGCCAAGACTCTGATCAAGGTGCTAGCTGTGCTGCATTTTAGCCAGCCACCTTCCGTTATTTGCCTTGGAATGATCCCTTGGATGGATACTGCGTTTCGGGCCCTTGCTAACCAAGGTTTACAGCTGTTCGTGCATTAGCAAACCCTGAGCTATTCAAGTACGACCATTTCCGCCAAGCGGCTCTCGCGATAGCAATCGGCACCGTGATCCAATTGATTATTCAAATTCCAGTATGTCTCTAAATTGTCCTGCGCTATTGGGTTTCTAACTTGAATGCAAGATTCTCAGCGTAAAATTCTCCATCTACCTCTTATCATGGGTGATCAACCTGGAGCAGGCAGTCTGGGACGACAAGCTTCTCAATGGATTGGAATTTATGTCAAAGTCTGTCCTTCAGGTGCCATTCTTGCTCATGACCCTGATGCGATATGTCACGCCCACGCTGGATGAAATGTACATTCCATTGGCAACAAATTCATTGACAGTGTTCGCTGACCGTCTCACTAGATTCATGCAGTCCATCCAATGGGTGGACACCACATACATCCAGAAACATAAATCCGAAGATCCTGGTCACCTACGCTCTCTATACTATCCTAATCTTGTTCAGTACTCTACCAAAGGTGGCTCCAGCGTTTCTCGGTCAATCCCCGAAGCATTGAAGTCATTCTTCAATCGCTATGCAAAGAAGATCGGTATGATGCTCGGTCTCTATCTTCTCTCGATGGTTGTAATCATCGGTCGGTTCGTGATGCCTGCAGCAAGTTTCTACACATTCCGAAATCACGTCGGCTCCACCCCCGCGGCTGTCATTTTTGGCGTAGGGTTGTTTCTGCCGAAGAAGTATATTGTCACGTTTCTCCACACCTACTTTGCTTCGCGCAGTCTGATGCGTGAGCTTGTAAGTACAGTTACCCTCCCGTACTTGTGATTTACCCTAACAGCTTCTAGCTCGAACCCTACTTTTGGCGCATTAAGTTCACTCCCGAGCAAAAGCGTCGGTGGTTCCGCGACCGAGAGGGTGTTCTCTTCGGGTTTGCCTTCGCTTTCACGGTTCTTCTGCGCATCCCATACATTGGTGTGCTGATGTATGGCGTTGCTGAGGCATCTACAGCGTACCTTGTCACCAAGATCACCGACCCGCCTCCACCTCCCGCTGAAAGTACAAACTTCGCGGAAAGCCAGGTTACCTGGAAGAACAAACATGATTTTTTGCGCTTGTCTCTCGACAATCTTGACAAACTCAATGTCGACATAGACGAGCACGATGACAAGGGCTCTGGCTCCCCCGGAAAGAAGTTTTCTTGAGCGCCGTTAGCACTCAGAGTTCCACGGCAAAGATTTCATTCGAGGATTAGATATGACCTTCGAAATTGCACACACACTATGCACATCAACGCATTATTAGCGTATATACAGTATGTATGCCTGTGCTAGAGAATGAGTATATGCAAGAATAGTCAGCCGCATAAGCGCCGTAGTCTTCTTGGTGGTCTTCTCAGGTAGTTTTCTCCGATAGTCTTTTTATGTCCTTTTAGTGGTCCTTTTTGCTAGTCTCCCCAGCTGGTCGTTTTAAATGCCTGGTTATATAGATATTTCCTCGCCCTTCTGAGTTTGTTGTGTAAACAGCAGGAAAGGACCAAAAAGGCTTAATTGAGGAAATGACCTTTTCTAAGTATACATGTAGCCTTTAACAGGGTCGGGGTACAACCATAGATGAGGCAGTAGCTTATCGGACCGGCCCTACCTACATATGTACCTACTTTCTTCCTCTTCCACTTTCAGTATCTGCGCTTCACTTTCGCTTTAAAAGTCGGCCAGCGTGGGCCACTCTTCTCTTCCCAAGTTTCATCTCCACTCTTCTCTTATCGCAACCTGCGTCTACTATAAGCCTTTTTTCCTTAAAGCGCCGCCCGTTGCGACCCTTATTGCTCTCGCGACATTCCAACGCCGTTTTCATTACGCTTAAACGCCACAACTTCTCCCCTTACCAGCCCCCACTGTCTTGTTCCGCATACCAGACCAGCAAGAAAGCTTGTGCCGAGAATACAGGCCTTCCAAGATTCATCCATCAACATGGACAGAGTCGACCGTTACCAACCTCGAAATAATGATGACCCCACCGTCCCTGTTCTGCGGGCTTTCGACACTCACCTTCCTGCAGATGGAAGAGAGAATTTCCTCCGGTGTCTTCGATCTTTAGAAACGGATCAACAACTTCATGATGATGCGGAGTCCTTGATCAACGGTCTGCTTGCCCCAATGCGGACACTCCGGTCCAGTGGTGAGCCGTTAGCGAGAGAATCCCGTCCGAGCGAAGAATGTCTGAAGCGCGATGGGTATAAGTGTGTCATCACCGGAGAATTCGACCTCAGCTCGCCTAACCTAAAAGTTGGTATAAGGAGAGCACTTACCGAGTGTGCCCATATCATTCCTTTTTCGTTAGGAACATGGAAAGACGAAAAAGACCGGAAGGCTAAAGACATTATCTGGGCCAACCTTGTCCACATGTTCCTATCTCTCGAAACCATCAATTTCGCCCAGGAGAATATCAACGACACAAGGAATGCTATAACCTTAGTCGGTGAACTTCATAAGTGCTTCGGATATTTCGATTTTGCATTTGAAGGGACTAAACGACCGAACGAGTACAAAGTGGTCAGCTACGTTCCGGATTTAGGTAGACTTGCCGATCGCCCTAAGACAGTAACGTCGGTGTGCCATGACCCCCAATATGGACTCCCAAGCCCAGAACTCTTAGAGGTACACGCAACTCTCGCCCGTATTTTCCATGCGTCCGGAGGACTAGGGGAGCACATTGACCAAGCTTTCGAAGATCTGAGAGAACACCATATGCTAGCTACAGACGGCAGTTCTGACATTTCGTCCATGTTGGCTACCAGTTCACTCGGTGTTCTGGGTTCGCACGCTGGGAACATTGAGTAGACTCAAGTGGAATTCTTCTGTTAAGAAGGCTTGAGATGAACGCGCGTGCACCGTGTATTCCTCATTAATTTTCTGTCGTTGTTTTAACCCGCCTCGGGAAACGCTGTCACCCTCTGATTTTGGATTTAGAATAAGTAGTATTGAGATGGTGTCCCACAGCATAAAGGTCATGCTGCATTGGCTATCCTTCTGCCGGCAAGGTGTGGTACGAGGGATTTCTTTCGTTTCTTGTTTTGCGAATTGAATGTTAATACCCAGTGCTGCGCACTCGGCACCGTTTCTTTCGTTTCCCGGTGGGACTTGCTCTTTGATGTTTTAGCTAGGAACAGCATTCAAATTCCTTACAAATTGCTTTCGGACTAGCATTTGGCAGTAGTCACGTATTTTCGTGAATTAGCACTTGATATCAAAGACAGTTTCAAAACTTCATATCCTATTTGTTTGTCGCCCTCCTCCGGAAGGTGCCAATATGTTTCATCTTCAACAGTCCGGAGGGACATGAAGCACTAGCTTATCGGACCGGCCCTATGCGAGATAAAGCGTTGATAAGCCGGGCAGATCTCCAATCTCCAACTTCACGTAACTGTTATTCATGCCGACATCTAAATGGACCGGGCGTCTGCGGGGTAAGACGTTATCAAGAGGGGGCCCAATGCAGAGTACTATGTCGGTATATCTGGGGTTCCCCAGCTCATCCCAGTCCCGAGATTTATACTCTCCCCAACATATAGCTTCTACCCCAAATCGCATTAAACGACTAACAAAACTCTACAATAAGTGCAAATATGGGTTTGAAGGGAATTCGTACTGCTCTAAAGGTCGACCTCGACAAGCCTGCGCGTGAACAGCCTGGCTTACATGTATGTTCTTATGTTCTCCAATCGTGAAACGTTGCTAAGTCCCCGATAGAACAGATGGCATCCAGACGGTATGTCAAGTCTTGATCAAGGTACCATTGCAGACACTACATACTGATTCCACATCCCGCAATCTCCAGTTCCGTCCCATGGAAAAATTGCCAACAATGAGGTTGTCAAGATCGAATGTCTCGACTGGACCGGAGGCCAGATCGGAAACAACGACTCAGCCGACGATATCAAGAATGTAGATCTAACCCAGATCCATTACCTGTCCGGTCCATTCGACATCGAAACCGCAGAGCCTGGCGATGTCTTGCTGGTCGAGATTCAGGACGTCCAGCCATTCGAAGAGCAACCATGGGGATTCAGTGGGGTCTTCCACAAAGAGAATGGAGGAGGTTTCCTAGATCAGCTGTATCCCGAGGCGTACGTTATGTTTAGATCGTGGTATTGTGACATATATCGACGCTAACACGTCCCACAGAGCCAAGGCAATCTGGGATTTTGAAGGAATCTTCTGCTCATCGCGCCATATCCCGCATGTTCGGTTTGCGGGGCTTATCCACCCTGGAATCCTGGGGTGTGCTCCATCGGCCGAAGTCCTGGCTGAATGGAACCGTCGAGAAGGGGAGCTCATTGCGGCCAATACTGTCGCTGATCGAATTGTCGCTCAGCCACCTAATCCCCAGAATGCCCATTCTGGCAATGCTACCGATGAGGTGAAGAGCAAGATCGCTAAAGAGGGTGCTCGAACTATCCCGGTGAGACATTATCATACACAACAAACTGAATCACATACTCATGTGTCTACTAGGGCCGCCCGGAGCACGGAGGCAATTGCGATATCAAGAACCTCTCCCGCGGATCGAAAGTTTACCTTCCCGTCCACGTCCCAGGTGCGAAATTCTCCGTCGGGGACCTGCACTTCTCGCAGGGCGATGGCGAGATCTCATTCTGCGGTGCCATTGAAATGGCCGGTGTAATCACACTGAAGTTCACAGTCATCAAGAACGGCATGGCAAAACTAGATATGAAGTCACCAATCTTCCATGCAGGCCCCGTAGAGCCGCAATTTGGCCCTGGACGATACCTCACGTTCGAGGGATTCTCTGTCGACGAGAATGGCAAGCAACATTTCCTGGATGCGACAGTTGCCTATAGACAGACCTGTCTCCGAGTCATTGAGTATCTCCGGCGCTATGGCTATAGTGATTATCAGATATATTTGCTGCTCAGTTGTGCGCCGGTGCAGGGTCATATTGCCGGTATTGTGGATATCCCTAATGCTTGTACTACGCTTTCCGTGCCGATGGATATCTTTGATTTCGATATTCGACCTGAGGCGGATGTGGTCAAAAGGGAGATGGGAGCTTGCGCTTTCGTGACGAAGTAGGGCGCTCAGCAGTGCAAGGGGCAAGTTGAACATTCTGAACTTTACTTGATTTGAATATTTCAATGGATCTGTTTATATGTGATTTTCTATGGTCAATACGGTTAAAGCAGTATGCAATATATTCTGGAACACAGGTCAATGCTTATCAGCACAGTGTATCGCCTAGACCCAGTCGCAACAATACTATGATCCTCTAGGGAAAAATGGTCCTGTCAATACTAGGTCATAGTTAAGATACATAATTTGGTACTTTTTCGAGGTAATGTTATCCCCGATAATCCGACTAAGTCTGCACTTCAAGCCTAACATGCTATGCCACAGGAGTCTACCATGTAGAAGAGGTTACAGTATGGACTTCGCACAAAGGAACAAGGCAAATTGCCTGAATGATGTGATATCATACATCATGGGTCGTTGTTGAATGAGAAGACCACGTCGTGAATCGTGATGGAACAAAAGGAAGACGAGAATGAAGCAATTTCAAACCGTTCAAGAGAAGAACTTCTTGGCAGCGGCCTTGTCCTTGGCCTCCCGGTCCTTGACGGTCTTCTTAACCTTAGCAATCTCGTTGATGATACCAGCATCGCCAGGAGCCAGCTTCTCCGCCTCCTGAAGATCCTTCAGCGCCTCATCCTCTTCCTTCAGACCCTCGTGAGCAACAGCACGGCGATAGTAGGCCTTGGCCTTATCGGCATCTTTGGCGTTGGCCGAATCAGCGACTTGAAGCGCATATGTCGCCCAGTTCTGAGCCTGGCTGTACTTCTGCAGCTTGTTGGCGAGCAGGGAAGAGTTGGAGTGCAAGGTGAATCGGAGTGCCTTCATCTGCTCTCCCAGCTCCTTCGGGTCGTTCTCTCCGGGGTCGGGGAACTCGTTCAAATAGCGCAGACCCTTCTGGTACTTGTCGAGACCCAGGTTGAGATCACCGCTCTTGAAAGCAGCGTTGCCGAAACCCTTGAGGTCGGAAGCGATCTTGAAGCAGAGAGGCGCGGTAAGCTCCTCGCCCTGGTGGTCCTCGGTGAAGTCCTCGTATGGGTCGCCTGTCGCATCCTGTTGGCGCTTGGTCGCGTTCTCGTAATCCTGGCCAGAAAACTCGCCACAGTCCACGATAGTCACGTCCTGGAAGGGCTTGTCGGATTGAGTCTTCAGGTTCTCGATCTTTCGGATCACACTCTTGCCGTTGATAACCTCACCAAACACGACGTGCTTGCCGTCAAGGTGGGGAGTAGGCACGGTGGTGACGAAGAATTGACTGCCGTTGGTGCCGGGGCCGGAGTTGGCCATAGAGAGTAGGAAGGGACGGTCATGCTTGAGGTCGAAGTTCTCATCAGGGAACTTTTCGCCGTAAATGGACTCGCCGCCAGTGCCGTTGAACGCAGTAAAGTCACCACCCTGAATCATGAACTGCTTGATCACACGGTGGAAAATTGAGCCTGAATCGGAACACCGGGGTTAGTGGGCGTCAACGCTATGGGAGCGGGGTATTGTAGACGTGCCTTTGTAGGTCAATTCCTTGCCCTGGGTGCCAATGCCCTTCTCGCCGGTACACAAAGCTCGGAAGTTGTCCGCGGTCTTGGGGACAACTGTCGCTATTGTTAGTCACGCCCAAATTGTTAAGGGAGAAAATCATGTCGTACCATCGCTGAACTGTGTGACACCCAGATGTTAGATGCAATGCAGACTCGGCATATAGAGGATAGGGCAACTTACCAGCTCAAATGCCACCCGGCTAGGTGTGCTGTCACCGATTTTAATGTCAAAGAAGACACGGGGGCCTACAAGCTGGTCAGCAACTCGATTCAATCCTTGCATTCCGCGGGCAGATGAACCCCGCACTGAACGTACGCTGAACTGTCGCCATGACTATGGAGTTTAGGGGAGAAATTTCACACTGGAGAAGAATAGAAAGAAATGAAGATGATATGGTAGAGAGGTGGAGGAGACAGAAGTCAGTTTTGTGGGGGAGTGCGGCGCTTGAGGTTCAGGAAGCTTCCATTGCGGGCACCCCAACTATGCTCGGACCACGGGAATGCATAGAACGTTGTATTGGGGGTATCTGCTAACATCTATGTACACAGCATTACTCTATTTCTCTTTCTTTCCTTTTTCTTCACTGCAGCAATTCAGGAGGAATTTGGAACTCAAAGGATCCCTTAATTTCCTGCTCTTCCGACTTCTTGTCTCCGTTTTGCTGCTCCTTGGGTTCTTTTTTGGGAAGATTGGTATTGATTTCGATCGTGACCTAGAATGAGACCAGTCAGTACAGAGTCAATAGCGGCGAGGAAAGGAGCTAGGAAGTCAAAATGTACCGCCGCGTCCTCGCTGCAGTAGTCTACACCCACCGGCCCGTCGTTCTTCAGTTCAACATCCATCATGGCTTGGAAGACACCGTTCTTGACCCGGTCCGGAATATAGCCTTCCCCCATCTTGTCATAGAAGTAGTCATAGAGTCTGCGTGCAGGTTCCGGACCGGCTGCATCATGAAAGTCGGGTTTATTGCCTTTCTTCATTTTCGCATAGAGGGTGAATTGGGAGACTAGACAGGCAACCATCAGTAGTGTTCAGCAGTGTTCCAGGTAGTAAGATGAGGAATCGTACCACATAGTACTTCCCCCTCAATATCCTTAACATTCTTTTTCCACTGTGATGATGTCAATTGCTGGTCGCATGGACACGAAGCAATTTGGCTTACTTGTACTCCATTCTCATCAGGCCAGAACTTGGCCTTCAGCACCTTGTTCACCAGGTTCTCAGCATCCTTCTCGGTATCTTCTTTGCCAATGCCCGCAAATACAAGAAGGCCCTTGCCAATAGATGAAATCAACTCCGAATCGACCGTGACGGATGCCGATTTGACTCTTTGGATAACGACTGAACGGCATTAGTTGATCTTGGTAGATAACACAGGTTAAGAGTTACTAACGTTTCATTTTGATGACCTACAGATCTTTCATATCTCGTTAAAATAAGAAATAGTTGAGTGAAGCCGGGGTACACACCCGCGGTGTAGACAAGATAAGGCCGGTGATAGCACTGGCAGTAACCGTCGCCTGGTATTGCCCAAACGAGCTCGTTTAAGTGACTTTTTCAGCGCGACTGGATTACTCGGCGTAAATTGTATCCTTTTGAACTGAGAAATCGAAATGCGACGTGTAGCTTGTGTGTGTAAGCCCAAGACCCCTCGCGCCGCCCTCACATTCGTTCTCCGCCCGTGACCGCCTGCCTATTATAGCATCAACGAAGCTTTCCACTCAAACGCGGAGAGGGCATTCCATAGACTTCCGAGTGTCTGTCCCTCTTGCTGTCAAACAAGCACTTTGCCCACAATTCTTCCTACACCAACTACCTCGATTGTGTACTTGTGACCATTTTGGTCGAAAGCGCATCACCACACCCCCCCGACCGCATCAATCACGACGCCAGTGGACGGCACAGTCCACCAACGGGTTCACAATGGCAGCCCGAAAAACACAACAGGAAATTGAGAAAACCTTCAAGAAGGTCTCCGAAGGGATACAAACGTTTGAAGGCATTTATGAGAAGATCCGCCAGGCCACGAATCCCACGCAACGGGACAAGCTCGAAGACCACCTTAAGCGCGAGATCAAGAAGCTTCAAAGGTTCCGTGATCAAATCAAATCATGGGCCGCTGGAAATGAGGTCAAGGATAAAGCTCCACTCATGGAGCAGCGGAAGGCCATTGAAGTGGTGTGTTTGGGTTTCCTAACTTGGTCCTCCACAGGGTCAATGGTTCCTTCAAGGGACGGCAAGCTAACACCGTCGATAGTGCATGGAACAATTCAAGGCCGTCGAGAAAGAGATGAAGACGAAAGCATATTCAAAGGAAGGTCTATCGGCAGCTTCGCGACTTGACCCAAAGGAGAAGGAGAGAGTCGAGTGTTCCGAGTTCCTGTCTACTATGGTTGACGAGCTTCAGCTGAAGATCGAGGCCCTAGAGGCAGAGGAGGAGACTCTTCATGCGCAAATGAAAAAAGGAAAGAAGGATATGAAGAAGGCGGATCGAATGGCCGATATCTCTCACGTTACGGAACGACATAAATGGCACGTAAACAAGTTGGAGTTCCTCAATCGTTCCTTACAGAACGGCAACTTAGACGTGGGTGCGGTACAAGACCTGAAGGAGAGTATCAAATATTACGTCGAAGAAGGAGGTAGTCCTGACTACTCCGGCGAGGATGAAACACTCTACGACGACCTGAATATCGGCGATGAGGTCGAGGCACAATTCGGCATGGGCGGCGACGGTGATCGTGTATCATCACAAGACGCTCAATCAATCCAAGATGAAGAGCCAGAAGCGAAACCAAAGGGCAAGCAAGAAGGGCCAGCAGCCCGAAGACCATCAACACAGATGAAATCGCCCCTGCCTGTTCTTGCTACCCTCCACCCGTCTGCTTCATCGAGTGCCACTCCAGGCATGAAGCCCGCTCCCCTTCCGACCCGTCCCCCTGGTGAAACCCTCAAGTATGCCTCCGCCGCTGCCGCTGCCGCAGCAAGTGATAAAAGTGGTGTTGGCATTCTCCCTCTTCCGCCTCCACCAGGGTTCAGCCCGGCTCTATCAGTGTCATTGCCTATCCCCAAGTCTTCTACTGCTTCGCCTAGTGTGGCGCCAGCGCAGCCTGTTGCCAAGTCAATAATTCCACCTACTGTATCAGCCGTTACAGAAGAGCTTTCTGGGTCTGTGCGATCCAAGGCCTCTGTGAGTGGAAGTGTTTCATCGCCAGCGCCCGCAAAGGTGGAGACATCAACGAATGGCAAGCCAGAGACAGAAGGAACTGAAAGTGAGGAATCGGTATATCACCTGCCCCCTGGTCTTCAGGATCTGCTCCAATCATTTGAGGTGACGAAGTCGCGTGCGTCGGCCAATCCATCGCCGTCTGTTCAGCGCCTTCTCGCTACCTCATTGACGACATGTCCGGAAGCTGGCGATGCTGAAAAACCACGTCACTACAAGCCGCAGAACCCCTACAGCACTGCGCTCTACTATCCACAGGAACCTCTCTCAATATTCGATGACCCTCGGTTGTACGATACCGGGAGGATCGACACGGATACACTCTTCTACCTCTTCTACTACCGCCAAGGGACGTATCAGCAATACCTTGCCGCCAAGGCGCTCCGAAACCAGAGTTGGCGCTTCCATAAGCAGTATCAAACCTGGTTCCAGCGTCACGAGGAGCCGAAGAACATTACCGAGGAGTTCGAACAAGGCACCTATCGTTTCTTCGACTACGAAAGCACATGGTCAGTTAAAGAATCCGGCTGATTGCGTTTCCGCACCCACTTTACGAGCTCACCGCTTACGAATAATATCAACAGGATGAATCGGCGCAAGGCTGATTTCAAGTTTGTGTACAAATACCTCGAGGACGAGTTATGAGGCGTCTTTGATCTTCACCCATGAGCAACCCACCCGGGTCTCCAAGCGCAGACTGGATTTGTTCGCAATGTCTGTGGCTCGACGCTATGATTCGATAGACTGGATGTTTAAGGCTATGGCGGGAACTTTGATATCTGTGGGTGGTCCCGGTGGGCTGTTTTATGTTCTTTTACTGTTTTCGCAGGACTGGCATCAATGAGTGCAATGAATGGGCCTGGGTGATACGGGAGTTTCGTGTTATTTTCAAGGTTATCAACTGTTCGAACAATACAAAGAATCCTTAAGTCAAGCACATTGGCTATATAATACGAAGTAGCCAAGTGGCTAAGCAGCCAAGCGGTCAGAAGTAAAGTTGATCATATGCTTATGCGCCAGTCTGCCTTGCAGCCCTGAAGGTACCTGAGCTAGGCCTTAGAATGAAGTAATGAAGTACAGCCATAAGTACATAGTGTGCATAGTACATACTACTCCCACTCCGTATAGGTACAGGTAACCAATCTGTGGCCCGGGTCCGGGGTTGGTATTTTTACGTGTACATGTAGCTCTGTAGGTCTACCGTTTCCTCTATTGGGACAATGCAGAGCAGATGCAAGCAAATGCAAGAAAATATAGAAAAATACCGGGGGGGGAAAGGGGGGCGGGAAAGGAAACCAGGAAACGGGAAACAGGGGCGCCGTAATTCACCTCCCACCAAGTCCAATGTTGCCCAGCAGGCCGGAAGTAATCCCAAATATCCCCGAATTAATAAAAAGAATAAAAGAATCAAAAAGTACCGACATATGACGAATTCACTGTCCAGCGACGTGCGACGTCAGAGAACGCTAACTCGCTAGCATTCACCTGCATCTCGCTCTTGCAGCTTGGCACGCTAGCAATGCACTTTAAGACTGCGGGATTTTTCCTTTCTAGAAGCCCATTAACGCTAGTCGCTAGTCGCTACGTCGCCAGGGGCTGTGCGCGACCTCGACATCATCGGTCGATCTGTGGCCCCGGATTGGAGGGGTCTGGGAATTGTGGGAATAGGCCTTGTGTTCTCCACGGGATGGAGATATTCGTGTCCGCAAGGCTGGATCGTGCGGATCATTTTGATAATATAACCGGCACGATTGTGCCGTTGTGCCGACCTGGACGCCAATACAACATACGTCAATGTGTGGGTTTTGGGGAAGGGAATGGATCTGCATCGTGAACTCGAACTCGACATCGAACTCGTCCTTGACCCTGGCTTTGACTTCAATCTCGAACATAATGGGCCTTATCTGAAAGCTTCAAAGTCTATGATGTACTGAGAATTCCCTCTCATGCAGCACATGAAACGGCGTGCAACTCACCTGTGACGGAAAACAAAAAAACAAAACCGACTGTCAGACACGAGCTCTTGGCACGCTAGAATGACACTAGAAGCCACACAGAACAGTCGACGTCCAATCATGAGAGGATCATCATGAGGGGAACTCACTGGGCGAAAGTCTGACCGCTGCTTATCGCGGCCAACTGGCCTCGCACCTGATCACCCTCCAATCATCGTCATTGAAACCATACAGGATGTCAAATGAGGGCAACGAGGGGCACGCTAGAAGGGCCGTGGAATATTCGGCGTCAGCAAAGATCCGCGAATTGCATACAAAACAAATTCCCGCATGCGAGGAGGCGGGGAGGCTGAGTGGTTTCGTCCAGTCTGCTTCGAGTAGTTTTCTAGAACTTGTTTAGTTTCCCTTTCACAGCCATTCACAGTCTGGCCCGTCCCGTGTCCAATACCCGACTCGAGGCCCCCGGTCATGCTCCATGATGTTGGAGTTTCACGTCGGGTACATAAAAGGGCTCATGCCTCCATTAGGGAAATTATTTTGCTTTTGAATACTTGTCCAAATCAATCTTAAGATTTCAATAATTAGTTCTCTCACAATGGTAAGCGACTTCAGCTTGCACGACCTATTCTAGACTAACCCTCTCTCTCTATAAGACCGCAATTCCAATCCCCACCCAACGCTCACCCTCCTCCGCCTCAAACATGCAGTCCACGTTCAGTTATTCAGACTCCTATTCTTCCTACTCTTCCTCGCCAGGAACCATGGACTTCTTCTTCTACGGCCAGCCCGTTTACGATACCCCTTGCGACCTTGACACAACCGGTTCCTTCCCCATGCAAGATGTCGCCCCAGAACTCTACGGCATTACCAGCTCGCCCTACACCTACCAGAGCCCGCATGACTACCCAGTCTTCGACCGACCAGTCATGCCCCAGAGCGCATCCAGCAGCTGTGGCAGCAGCTACAGCAGTAGCTATAGCAGCAGCTTCAACTTCCCCTCCGAAGACATCTCCCTTCCAAGCTACCCCATCAGCGAATACGAGCCCAGTGCCGATTCGCCAGCGCCTGCGTCCAAGTAAGCCGACTACCTTCAGCCTTTTGGTTGCTATCATTCGCAATTGAGTCGACGTGCTAACCTCTCCCTAGGCCCGTTAAGCCCTTCGGTTGCGACCATTGCGGCAGGTCCTTCACCCGCTTCGCAGACTTGAAGCGCCACCAGTCCAGCGTCCACTACCCCGTCTTCCGCAACTGCCCCGTCGAGCACTGCTCGCGAAAGGGTAGCAATGGCTTCCCGCGTCAGGACCACCTCGTCGAGCACCTCCGCTCGTATCACCACCTGGACGTGCCGAAGCGCGGTTCCTGCAAGCGCTCCGCGAAGCAGATCTCATGACTGTGATGTTTTCTTTCGCGTTGCGCTGGTGTGTCTAGCCTTCTTACGGGCTTCTTTACGATATCATGACTCTTTCCTTTTTCGATTTGCTATTTACTATTTCCCATTGCTGTTTTACTTTGGTTTCATCGATAGATCGCATTCCGGTTATGGATCGGTCCTGTATAGAAGATGGGCATTGCGTCTTCGGTTTATTCTGTTTTCTTTTCTTCGAGCTCATCGCTCATGACTTGTGTTCTAGATTCTAGATCGGACGGCTTAGATGGGTTATTGGTGGAACGGTGGAATGTTTCAATGAATCGCAACGACTACGATATACCATTTTCCTCAATTGGCCTAGACCTTTCTTTTCCTATGGATCTGCTGTCATTTCCCCTTTCTTGCTCCAAATGATTTTTACCTAATGTGCTCAGGCCAAATGCATTTCTCCTAAAGTACGCGTGCTGCAGTAGTCACACAGACTAACCGGACTAAGTAGGTGCTGTATCAAATAGCACAATTGCTGGTATGCTCCGTTCGGAGTACGCCGTACTAGTAGCTACAGGGTTGAGTCGCACCTCTTTTTTGCTCAATTATCCCAGATATCCAAATACCCCACATATCCCGCATAAATACAAAGGAACTCGGATATAAAAAGCAAAGAAAACTCTAATGGGAAAACTCTGCGCAAGCCTTTTCTTTGTCCCATTGTACAAAGCCGAAGAAACCAAAAAAGGTTGGCCCTCACTTTGGCCCCCAATTTCTCCTTTGACATTCCAAGTCAAGTAACAGGAATAATTAATTTTCATCAAAAATAATCCCTACATGCAGGTACATACATAGAGTTCATTAATGCACATCGGCATCGTCCAAAACAGAATTATTGCCCTGGCTAGACCGTTCCCAAGCCAGACTAATTCCTCGAACGTTTCTCAAATTGCAGTCCCTCCAATCCCCATCCTCATCAACTTCAACTTCCCCAAAGCTCCTCAATGTCCTCCCCCCATCCAACAAAGTGTAATACTCGAGCATTAAAATACTATCACAATACGTCCCAATTCGTGAACACTAAATGAAAGGTATGCATACTGTATATATATAATACTGCACTCATAAACATATGTACTGTAATAAGTGAAATGTTATTCGATTACGTATTCTTAAGAAGACTCGCCTTAGTTAGTTAACTGCCTTATACCTACCCAGGTAGGTGAGTCCTGAGGTCGTTTCAACCTCGGGAAACACTCCGGTCTTGAGATCTCCGATATTACTATTTATCACGGCGACAGTATGCTAGAGATCTCTGAAAGATAGATAATCAACTTTCAAGATTTATCGGGTAATGCTAGAGGGTGGGTGTTCGAGTCTGACCGGGCCATATTCCCAGTTCAACAGTGCTATAATCGCTATATTAGCTAGGAACTTATTATAGAGAATTTTCACTTACCGGTCTCTGCTCCTTCGATTTTTAACATTGGTTCTAGACTTCCCCTCTGGGGCCCAAACGGCGTGGAAACATGTCAGACCATAGGTGTGCCAGCATCGCTTTCCAGAAAACCACAGCTGCACAAAACCGCCCAGCGGAGTCCCCAAGAACGCTACAGCCTCCAGTAAGTCGTAGAAATCTCTCACGTAGACTTGATGGCAAGCAACCGGATTGACTGCTGAGGACCGAACGGATTACAGGTCTTCCATTCTTCATAGCGTATCGCCGATGTATCGATCCGCAACAGCTTCCAGCGGATGCATCCAAATCACCATTAGAGGTTCGTCAGGGAGGAGCTATGTCGCATATCGAGTCTCTCCGCAGTGTTGTCAGCTGAGGCGTTTGTTAGGCAGACAATGACAGATTGTCCTTTGACCATTTTCTTCTCAGGAGCCTCGTCTTCCCGTCCAGTGGACTTGGCGTAATTGATGAATGTCGCAAGCCAGCTACCATTGTCCATCTGCGAACAACTTCTTTGCAGCTTCGTCCACCTTTCCCGCATTGTCATTGGATAATTTGTTGGTTGGCAGACAATAACCACTTGTGGCTGCACCAGTTCCTTCTCGTCAATTGTGATAAATCGATCCAGGAGGGATACAGTGTGTTCAAATCTGAAGGTATTCGTCTCCGTAGTTGAGTAATCGTTGGACCGAGTCGCTTCGGATCGCCGAAGAAGCCATAGGCGAGTGGCTGTCACTTCGAATCGCGGTGCTCACATAGTTCGATCTCCGTCCCTTAAGAGCTCCACCCCAACTTCGCACTTAGAATGAAAAAGGTCCACGCAAGAGGTATTTTCTCCAGACCATTTGCTGGAAATACCAACACCGGGTCCGACTAGGTCAAGGAAACATCGATAGAATTCATCCTGGAAAGCTGCTTCGTGTGGTCTCTATACTCCAGACGGGCCTATACTCAGCCCATCAGTTGCGCGTATCAACGCGGACTGGGAAAATTCTTCGAAACGCTGAGGCATATCGCTTTGATGTCTGGATTGGTGCCGACTGGGAAGGGCTTTGCTTCGAAAACCCCCCATGTGTGTACCATTGCTATGTGTGCCAAAGGTTGGCCATGGCTATGGCCCTCTCCACCGATTTGTTTGACTTCGATTATCACGACATGACAAGCAAAGTGGTCCCTTTCTCCAAAAGAAAGGCTGTAATCCGCCCTGACCAGTCGCTGGGAATACCAACGCCGGGACCGGGAAGGTTGGGGTATCAATAGCTACATTTCATATGGCCAGAGACTCAGCACCCCTCTAACCTTCCCTTTCCCTTCGAGCACCAACCACATTCTCCTTCTAAAGTTTATACACTAAGCCTAATTGACTCATTGGCGCTCTATTGTTGCTATCAGCCCTCATATCCGTCCTATTCAAGCCACGAACCGAGAATGCCCACATCAAAACAATATAGTAAGACACATTTCGCTATCAACATATCGATAAGTATATCCTGTAGAGAATTATAGTAACGAAACGCTTTATTAGATCCTAAAAATCCTACAATAATATCCATAATCCGAGTAAAGCAGATTATAAAAAGTGTACTTCTATCCCTCCAAATTGGCCCTACCGCAGTATTTCAAGTGCAATTTAGCGTTTGTCTTTTGAGGCGACCCTTGTCCTATAAGCAATTTTCTACGAGCTGATACGAGCGCACACACGAATCAGAATTGGGTAAGGTCAAGGACATCACTATATGCCAATGGCCCACATATTACCGAAGCCGATCGAGTGCATATCGGGGCCTTCAGGGCCGTTTCCAACAGGCGTTTCCAACAGCCATTGGCCAAGCATTTGGGGCGGCCCTAGAGGCCAAGTCAATCAATCCCCACTTCGCCGGGCAGGAAGGGCATCTCACCTCCTATCACACTAGCCCATGAAACAACCGTGAGTTGGGGCCCGATCATATATAAAGACGAGCCACATACCTGGATAGGCGGACTACAGCCTTTTTAGAGAAAGGGACCACCTAGCTTGTTATGTCGTGATGATTGAAGCTAAACAAGTCGGCGGGGAGCGCCATGGCCGACTTGTGGCATATATAGCAATAGTATAGGCTAGTCCGACTAGACCATACACGGCGTGCCTAGCGACGGAGAGATCTTTATACTTGAATTGCAGAAATCCTATCACATACCATGGGCCATTTACCCTGCGAGCACAGGTACCAGTAAAGCAAAGTCACTTAGCCCCTAAATCCACAAATTCCTTGAAGCAAACTCCCCTAACCTTCCCATCAAAAAAGACAACTCCCTCCTCCTCAAGTCTCAACCTCTTCTCCTCGCAGAACCCACCACCACCCTTATGCCCATCGACCTTCCACTCCCCCTTATACCCACCCAACGACCCATCCGCCGCAAGGACCCGATGACACGGCACCTCTGGCGCAAAGGGGTTAGTGCGCATCGCGTTACCGACTGCCCGCGCGCTGGAGCCTAGGTACGTCGCCATCGCCGAGTAGGTAGTCCACCGACCTGGCGGGACGGAGAGGAGCGTGCGATACACGCGCCGGCGGTAAGGGGTTAGCGTTGGGTGTAGGGATATGCGGCGGAGATATTTTTTGGTTTGCACTGTGGGTAGTGTGGGTTGGAGGGATTTTTGGGGTTTGGGCTCTTGCTGGTCTGGGGTTGGTGTTGGGGTCTGCGCATCTGCGGGCTGCACTGTTGAGAGGGACATGACTCGTGGACCCTCTTGTCTAGGTAGGTAGATCTTTTTATTTGTTTTATCCCCTTTGTTTTTTTGGTTTCGAGGCACTTTTTGAATTTTGGAATTGCTTAGGTTCAAGTAGAGATGATATTCCAAGGCTTCATTGGTAATTTGAAATTAGCCGGGAACGATGCGAATGCGACGCGAGACGCGTTTGTTGGCATTGCGGTACTTACCACGAGAGTAGCTATCGATTCCGAGAAATAGGATACGAAATTTGTTTGAATATAAACACTTGGAGAGGGAGAAACAGTGAGGGAAACAAGAAGGTATGGAGCTTTAAATATAGGTTGAGTTGATGGATGTTGTTCCCAAAGTAGCCAATCAGAGCGGCTTCTGTACAGCATCGTCTTCACGATAAAATTTTATTGATTGTTCTAGGAATGAGAGACTGACTTTTAAACCATACATCCATTTCTAAAGTAATTAGTTGTTTATTCATCAAACATCACGTAGGGAGCCCAAACATAGAACATCATCGAATCCTCCATCAAATCTAAGCGTGATCTACATGCTCCGATCCTACAGCATTATCACCAGCCTTGGAAGCCGCAACAACCGCAGCAACAGAAAGAGGCTTTCCAGTCTCCGGGTCCACCACACTGCCCTTGGGACCGAGAGACTGGACCATGCCTGGGTTCTCCGCCTTGAGGCGCGCAAAGGTCTTCTCCGCATCCCAGGTCCAGGGCGTCTTGGCCGCGAATAGGAGGTCCATATCCTCTAGCGTGCGCTGGTTGCTTTCTGGGTATAGAGCCCACACCATGGGGATGGCGATAACATTACTGGCGGCGAAGACGTACAGCGTCTTTTCGCCAATCGCATTGAACA